AAGGCGGAGGGTGGGAGGGGGGCGGGTGGGTGGGGGAGGGGGAGGCGGGGTGGGAGGGTGGACGGAGGGGTGGACGGGTGAGTGGCTGAGGGCTTGATGGACGGTCAGATGGTGAGTGACCGACCAGGGGTGGGCGTGGATGAGCTGATGGACGAGAGGCTGTGAGGACGGAGGTGGGTGGACGATGGGTCTGGGCCAGTGGGGGCACTCGGCTGGGTGGGTGGGCACAGGGATGGCGGTTGGCAGCCGGGGGCCTTGGCGGGTGGGTGCCTAGACAGGTCAGCGCTGTGAGGCGGGGTGGAGGGCTGGGGCCCTGGGGCCGTGCAGGTGGACGCTCGCAGGGCTGGGACAGAGCCGGGTCCTCACCGCTCTCGGGAGGGGCCCACGGCCAAAGGGGGTGTGGGGGCAGAGGGCAGAGGGCAGAGGGCAGGGGATGGGTGCAGGCTGCTGCCCAAGCCCCACAGCCGTCCAGGGGCCAGCCTGGCCTACGGGGCCGAGCCCCGAGCGCGTCCCCCTGCCTGGCGCAGGGCAGGGGCCACCTCCCCTGTCCCAGTCCCTTCCCGTGCCCGCCCCACCCCCGCCACGCGCCCAGCGGGAAGGGCGGGAAGGGAGGGATCCCTGGTGAAGACGGTGGCCGCAGGCTCTCCGAGGGGCTCCCATGTCCAGCCTGGGACACGCCTGCCCCGGCTCCGACAGGGGCACACGCAGCCCCCGGCCCGCACCCTCCGCTGGGTCAGGGGGTGAGCGGGGGCTGCGGCCACTGCCACGAGAGCCCCGGCAGCCGTGGGCTTCGGTGGAGAGGACACACGGAGGACATACACAGCAGGCGGGGCGTGTGGCGGGCACTGTGCCCTCGAAGCCCGGATGCCCACCTCCCCCAGGCTCTGAGAGCCGGGTAAGGCTGCTGGACACGCGTGCTGAGGTGTGTGCATGTTTGTGACTGTCCCGGGGGAGGGGTTCTCTGCTCCTGTGCACTTGCATGTCACATGCACAACCCCCACTCCCGTACACACGTGTGTCACGAGCAGCATCCCGCACTCCTGGGCACATGTGTGTGTGACATGCAGAAGCCCTCCTGTGTACACGTGTGTGACACTCAGGACCCCGCACGCCTGTGTACATGTGTGTGCCACGTACTGCACCCCAAACTCCTGTGTACACATGTCACATACAGCACCCCGCACTCCTGTGTACACGTGTGCGTGTTGCACCCCACACTCCTGTGTACATGTGTGTACATATGTGCCAAGTGCATCGCCCCCACTCCTGTGTACACGCACATCACATGCAGCATCCTGCACTCCTGTGTACATGTGTGTGCCGCGTGCTGCAACCCACACTCCGGTGAACACACATGTGTCACGTGCAGGACCCCAAACTTCTGTGTACACACAAGTACTACATGCATCACCCTTCACTCCTGTGTACACATGTGTGCCACGTGCTGCATCCCACACTACTGTGTATACGCGTGTGTCACGTGCAGGACCCCACAGTCCTGTGTACACACATATGCCAAGTGCATCACCCCCACTCCTGTGTACACAAACATCACATGCAGCGTCCCACACTCCTGTGTACACATGTGTGTCACGGGCTGCATCCCATACTCCCACACTCCATGAACACACGTGTCACATGCACGACACCAAACTCCTATGTACATACATGTCACATGCAACACCTCGCACTCCTCTGTACACGTGTGTGTCACGTGCAGGACCCCACAGTCCTGTGTACACACATGTGCCAAGTGCATCACCCCCACTCCTGTGTACACACACATCACATGCAGCATCCCGCTCTCCTGTGTACACGTGTGTCATGTGCTGCATCCCACACTCCGGTGAACACACATGTGTCTTGGGCAGGACACCAAACTCCTGTGTACACACATGTACCACGTGTATCACCCTTCACTCCTGTGTATACACATGTCACATGCAGCACCCACACTCCTGTGTACACGTGTGTGCCACGTGCTGCACCCCACACTCCTGTGTATACGCGTGTGTCACGTGCAGGACCCCACAGTCTTGTGTACACACATATGCCAAGTGCATCACCCCCACTCCTGTGTACACAAACATCACATGCAGCGTCCCGCACTCCTGTGTACACATGTGTGTCATGGGCTGCATCCCATACTCCCACACTCTGTGAACACACGTGTCACATGCAGAATGCCAAACTCCTGTGTACACACATGTACCATATGCATCGCCCTGCACTCCTGTGTACACATATGTACGTGTGTGTTGTGTGCAAGACCCCACTCCTGTGTACATATGTGTCACGTGCAGCGCCCCACACTCCTGTGTACACGTGTGTCACATACAGGACCCCGCTCTCCTGTGTACACGTGTGTGTCATGTCCAGTACCCTGGGTGCACACACTGGCCTCAGACCTTGGCGGGCGCACCCAGTGTGGCTCTGCTTCTCCGGGAAGGGTTCGCTCTGGATCCAACAGCCCAGTGTGTGTCCGGCTGCAGTGTGACCCCAGCAGCGCTGGCCTCGGCGGGGGGCTGAGGACTGTGGGGGGCGTCTGTCCTGAGGCCCCTCCCTTGGGCCTCCTGCCGCCCTTCCTTTCCCCACCACTGGGGGCGCCAGAAGGGTCTCCCACAGCGACGGATGCACGTGGGACCTGGCCGGCCCCATCAGGCGTCCCCTCCCCGGACTCCTGCAGGGGACCCCTGGGCACCGCCACACCCCTGAGTTGTCAGGGGCTGGGGTTTCCCAGACCGTGGGGCAGGGTCACCTCCAGCACGCAGGGACCAAGGAAGAGGAAGTTGTGCCCTGGGGTCCCACACTCTGTCCTGTGACCCCGGAGGAGCGAACCCAGACCACTTTTCACCTGCACCGGGGCAGCCTAGGCCACATCCAGGCCTTCCAGCTGGGCCGGGGCCGTCTGTGAGCCACAGGTGCTCGTTGGACAGCTTACCTGGGCTCTGCTGTGCGCCGGGTGTGCTGGGGGCGTGTGTGCTGGGGGCATGTCCCACTTGCAGATGTGCGGGGAACGTGTCCCGCGCGCAGATGTTCTGGGGGCGTGTGTTCGGGGCGTGTCCAGCGTGCAGGTGTGCTGGGGGCGTGGCCCGCGTGTAGGTATGCTGGGGGCGTGGTCCCACATGCAAATGTGCTGGAGGCGTGTCCCGTGAGCAGATGTGCTGGGGTGTGTCCCCCCATGCAGACGTGCTGGGGAGCGTATCCGGCGCAGGTGCGCTGGGGGCGTGTCCCGTACTCAGGTGTACTGGGGGCGTGGCCCCGCGTGCAGAGGCAGATGTGCTGGGGGTGTGTCCCACGTGCAGGTGTGCTGGGGGCGTGGTCCCAGGTGCCTTGTACGTCTCTGCCGTCCGTCCCAGTGGTTCTCTGGGAAGTCCGGGGTGGTGTCCACTGCCCACATGGGGCCTGGTGCCACGCCCCCTGCCCAGTGTGTCCTGCCCGCTTTGCTCCGGGCACTCTCAGGGGATTCTCGCCCAGTCGCCAAGGCCTCCCCTGCCACCAAGTGAACGAGGTCACCAGGGAGAGCCCAGCTGCCCGCTGGATCGCCCGTCCACAGTCCGTTTCTGAAAGCTGGGGGGCGTCAGGACGTGTCTGTATTTTACACGGCCCCTCTTGGGGGAGGGGGTGTGACCTTGGGCCAAGGGCCAGGGACCCGCAGCGACCTTGGTGGAGGTCACCTCCGGGGGGGCGTGTGGCTGGGGGCTGTCGCTGGGTGGGGGAGCCAGGGGGAAGGGTGAAGACCCGGGGTTCGGAGGGGGCACGGACCCCACGGCCTCCTGAGCCCACTCCTCATGGCCCGGGGCCGGCGGGGGCCACCAGCCAGAGCTGCCGCTGTGACCCCGAACTCCTGCCCCGGGGTGTGCGCAGAGCGAGGGCTGAGCTGGAGCTGGCGTCCCTCGGGGTCTGTCGTCCCCCCAGACTGCCCCAAAGGGCATCGCTCGGGCGCACGCACCTGGCCCGGGCCCGAGCCCCAGGCCGGGCGATTGCAAGTGAGTCTCAACGCGGTTCCTCCAAAACTGCCCCGGCCCTGGCGCCCTGGGCTCGGGTGACCCCGCCGGACCGATTCCCCACGGAGGGACACTGGGTGGCGAGGGTGAGTGACCGGAACCCCCGGCAGCTGGGGGTGGGGGGCGCTTCCATCTGGGGTTCACCCCCAGCGTTTGGGGCCGCCGGTCTGGGGGTCTCTCACCGGCGCCGGACGCGGGGGCCCGAGTTGGAGGCCGAGTGGGGTCCGAGCGCCCGCGGGCGGCCCCCCGCCGCGCGCCCGCCCGCGGCGGCCCCGGGAGGCTGCGCTGGGGGAGGGGGCTGGGCGCCCGCTCGGCTCTGCAGTGAGGCCGCTGCGCACCTAGGTGGAGCCCGACCCGCGGCTCTCGGCTGGACCGGCCCCGCCTGACCCGCCGGCGCGCCAGGCGGGGGCGCTGGCGGGCGGCGCGGGGGTCCCCGGGGTCCCCTCCGCGGCCCAGTGCGCATCGGCGGCTCGGCGGCGCGGGCGGAGCGCGGACGGCGGCGGGCGGGCGAGCGGGCCGGGCCGGGCCGAGCGCAGCGCAGCGGGCGGCGGGCCGGGCCGGAGCCGCCGCGTCGGCCCCACCTGTGGGTGCCCCGCGCCGCGCCCGCCTCGCCGCGGCACCCGGGCCCGGCGCGGGGAGCGCGCGGGGGCGCGCGGGGCCGCGGGCGGCGCGCGGGGGACGCGCGGGGCGCGCGCGCGGGGGGCGCGCGGGGCGCGGGAGGCGGCGGCGGCGCGGAGGCGGCCCCGCGCGGGGCCCGCGGCCCGACCTCGCGGCGACCGGCCGGCGGCGGCGGCGACCGTGTGCGGCAGCCCCGGCCCGCGACCCCGCGCGCCCGAGCCCCCCGCCCGCGGCCGTTGCGGGCCCTGCCGGCGGCGCGGCTCCGGGGGCGGCGGCGGCGGCGGCCGCGCGGCCGATTCATGGGGCCGCGGCGGCCGCCCCCCCCGCGCCCGGGCCCCCCGCGCCCCGCTGCCCGCCTCGGTGGCCGAGTGGCCGCCGCGGCCCGAGCGTCGGCGCTGAGCCCCGGCCCGGCCGGCCGCCCCCGCGCCCCTCCCCCGCGCGAAGGACACCGGCCGCCTCCCGAGCGGCGCCTCCAGTCGCGGCGGAGCGCGGCGGCGGCGGCGGATGGACCTTGGCCGCGCGGCCCCGGGGGCGTCGGCCGAGTGGGCGCCCGCGATGCAGCTGCTGAAGGCGCTCTGGGCGGGCGCGGGGGCCGCGCTCTGCTGCGTCCTCGTCCTGCTCCTGCACGCGCAGTTCCTGCGAGAAGGTACCGGCCCCCGCGCCCGGCCCGGCCCGGCCCTCAGGCCCCCGCGCCCGCGGGGCCCGCCGCCCCCACCCGCCGCCCGCCCGCGTCCGAGGGGAGCCGGGACCCCGTGGGCGCGCGCGCCGGGACCCGGCTCCCCGCCCCCCGCCCGGGCGCCGCTGGGCGCACTCGGGCGGCCGCGGGGGCCCGGGGGTCTCTGCGCCGGCGGGGCCGGGAGGGGCCGCGGCGCCCGCGCCCCCCGTGCGCTCTCGGAAACTTCCTGTCCCGGGGGTCTCCCCCGCCGCGCCCCCGCGAGCTCCGGCCTGCCGCTCGGTCCGCTCGGCGCGGCCTGGCGGGTCCTCTGGGAGGGCGAGGCCCGCGGGCGGGGGGCGCAGCCTCGGCCGCTCGCCCCCTCTCCCACCCCCGTGCTGCCCCCCGCCGGGATTGCGGACAGGCGGCGCGGGAGGGACGCCCGCCCGTGTCCGGGCGGCGTGGCCAGACCCTCATTAGCTCGGGTTCCTGCAAAGGCAGGGCTGGCCGCGATGCCCGATGCCCGGTTTTCCTGCCTAATTAATGAGCTGCCGGCTTCGGGGGGCAGCTGGAGAGGGCGCGCGGCGGCGGGTGCCACCCCCCGCGGGAGCGTCCTGGTCTCCCCGCGGCTGCCCCGGCAGCCGGGTCCTGGCGCCAAGGTGCAGGCCCGACCCGGTGGGGTGTCCATCGGGGTCCCCAGGAGGCAGGGGGGCTCTCCTGCGGGCGGAGGGCCAGCCCCGGCTCTGCTGCCCAAGTTCCCGGCCTGGAGGTGTCCACCAGCCAGGCCGGCCGCCGGCCATGGGAAGTCCCTGGATTGCCAGTGCGCCTCGGGGACCCGCCGGGGGTCCCACTGGGGGGCCCCTCCAGGCCGGCACCCGCCCCCTTTGTCCCCGCTGCCTGCAAGGTCAGCTCCAGCGCGGCCTCCCGGCCCCCACCCCCCCAGAGCGCTGGCAGGGATGAGGGTGAGGGCGGCCGATGGACAATTGTCACTTGTTGTCTGCCCGCAAGTGGGAGAGCGCCATTTCCGTGACTCTGGGGTTTGGGGGGTGAGGGGCGGGCCACACAGGGAGCCTGTTCTCCCAGCTGCCGCCGGCGTGGGTCACCCCGCGGTGACTGCGGCCCCGGCCCGGGTGCGGCCAGCGCAGCCCACGTGCTTCTGAGTGGTCTGGGGAGATCCTGGGACCTCCGGCCGTCCAGCGCAGGGCAGCGCCTGGTAGGGGCGTGTGTGATTCCCGCCATGTCCGGCGTGGTCTGGGTGCCCAGGAGGCACCCAGGCGAGGGTTCTCCTCGGCCGTCCCTCGCGGCCCCTCGCTGTCCTGGTCATTGAAGGAGGCAGGGGGGAGGGACCCTGCAGAGGTGCGGGGCACAGGAGGCCTTGCAGGGTCCTCCATGTCCAGGAGACACGTGTCATCTGCAGCTCCCTGTCCCCAACGGCTTGCGCAGGGGTGGGGGTGGGAGGTTGGCCAGCGCCCCCAGGCTGACCACCTGTTCTCAGCGACCCGGACTGTGAGAAGCCTTGGTGGCTGCCACGTGGCTCCAGGCAGTGGACGTTGTGTGTGAGGGCAGCGGCAGCTCAGTCACCTTGGGCCGGGGCATGTGCGTCCTCTCGACTCGGACACGGGCCGCCCTGTGGGTGACCAGGTGACCGCTGACCCCCATCCCTCTCGAGTCCCCGGACTGCCAGGGGTGTGGCCGGGATGTTGACAGGTGACCCTGTGTCCCTCATGGCCAGGAGCCTGCTTGGGGTGCAGGCAGGAGGTGGAACCCTGGAGCCGACCCTCCACGTCCTGCTCACCTGAAAGGTTGCTCCCAGGCTGCTGCCGGGCATGTGTGTGTGTGTGTGTGTGTGTGTGTGTGTGTGTGTGTGTGTGTGAGAAGGGCACGGCCGGGCCCCACAGCCTGCCTCTCAGGGCCCCCATGCCGAGGCCGCGGGGAACCCACAGGGACCCTCCTTGGGAGACCCTGGAGCTCAGACCCACGCGGTGCTGGGGGCGGGGGGCGTCCGTCCCCTTTCCGGAGGCCCAACCCTCACCAGGACACGATCAGGGACGTGGGCCCAGCCCCACACACACCACGGACATGCGCACACACGCACACACACCATGGACATGCACAGACACACACCACTGGGCACGCACACACATGAACACATGCATACACCACGGACACACACAGACACACACCACGGACACACAACACACACATGCACACACACATGCACACACCACAGACACACACCACGGACACTCATAGACACACCACGAACATGCACAGTCACCACACCACGGACATGCATAGACATACACCATGGACACACACAGTCACACACACACACCCTCCCAGCAGAGCCCACACATGGGCTGTAGACTCGTGTCCATAGAACATGTGTGTATGTTCTATGCAGCGTGCAAATGTACACCGCATGCACTGCACACGTCTACACACGTGTGAGCCGTGCAGGGTGCCCACACGTGTGCACAGTGCCTGGGACAGCCTGCACCCAGGGACACTCAGAGCCTCGCTGGGGGAGGTCTGCATGTCCAGCACTGCCCAGGCCTCTGTCTGATGCCCGCGGGCTGTTTCTCCAGAAGCTTCTGTAGGCCCCGAGCTGGGAACGGGTGGGGCAGGGGGTGGGGCCCGGGCTGCTCCCCTGTGCTGGGCAGGGCACCCACCCTCCAGCCCTGGCCCCTCTGCCCGGGACTTCGCAGAAAGGAGGGGCGCGTGGGGGCCCCAACCCTGCAGATGGGGGGGCCCAGCCTCCCCCGCCCTCGGCTGCCCCAGGGACCACGGGGCGTGCGGGCGGACTCCGGACCCCCACGCGGGGGAGGAGGCGGTTCCTTCTTGTCCCCGCCAGGGGTCCCTGTGGGAGCGAAGGGGGCAGTACTGGCCAGCAGGGGAGGCAGCGGCCGGCGCGGGGTCCCTTGTGCACCCCCAGAGGTGAGCTCCTGCGGTGGTGCGGTGGGGGATGGTACGTTCTGAACGCGCCTCCTCATGACGTCACCCGCCCGCGCCTGACATCATCCCGTGCGTGACGTCACGGCTCCCTGCGTGACGTCACTGCTCTGTGCCGGGCTGGACCCCTCTGACTCCCGCCGGCCCCCCCCCCCCGCCCTCCCTCCGCTCCTGGGAGCAGCCCCGGTGTCCCCCCTGCGGGTCCCCCTGTCGCAGGGACCCCGGCCCAGGCTGGGCCTTGGGGACTGGGGAACCCACAGGTGGCACGGTGGGGTGGGGTGGGGCGGTGGGGTGTCACCTCGCTGAGAATCGTCTAGAACAGGCCGGTCGTGCTGGCTGGGGGCTGCGGGGTCCCCGGCCAGGCCGCTGGGGACCTCAGGGGCGCTTCTCGGCCGCTGTGTCCCGTCTGTCCCTGGGCTCGGCGTGCGGGGGAGGCGCAGAGTGTCCCCCCCGCCCCGACTCCCTGTCCTTGTCTGACTGCCCCCGGCTGTCACCAGGGGGTGGACAGCGCTGCCCGCGCCCACGGCTCCCGTCCAGGGTATTTTTAGCTGCTCGTGTTGTTCCCGCCACGCGGCTGCTCCTCAAAGAGCCAATTTCCTGGGGGCCCCCAGCAGACACCCGCCCCCCGCGGGGCACCCCCCACCCCTGTCCTGTGCCTGCCCCGCCCCCGGCCGGCTCCCTGCGGCGCCCTGAGTGGTGGTCAGCACTTTCTCCAGCCGCTGCTCTCCCAGGCTGGCCCGTGCAGATGGCCCTGGGGCGGCCCCTGTGGGGGGCTCTGCGCCCCAGGGGGGCTGGGGGCGGGCTCTGTGTCTGGGGTGAGGTGCCTGGCTGTCAGGAGGGCCTTGGGGAACTTGGGCCCAGCCCCCCTCGGCTGAGACACGGGGTCTCCTGGGAGGAGGTCCTGTCGGGGGCCCATGCGCCCTTCTGGGGGTCAGCGGCTCATGTGCCTTGGGCTGACCCCAGATTCCACGTTCCTGGGGTCAGGGGTCTGTGCTTGGGTTCCGGGGGCTGCCCCGGGGAGCACTGGGCTGGGAGCTCCCAGCAGGGTTTCCGGAAGCAAGTCTTGTCTTGGCTGGACCGTCCGGGCAGGCCGACTGGCGGCCACAGCTGGGCGCTGACCCCCGTGAGGCCACTTCCCACTGCCGTCCAGGGCCCGACTGAGCCAGCCCCCTGCCCCCCGGCCATGTCCTGTTCTGTCCCTGTCCTACATGGGGTCCGGCGGAGATGCGGTGGGCAGCCTCCACGGGCCCCATCCGTGTGCCAAGCGGTGTGCAAAACGGCCTCAAGCCCATGGCCGGCGAGCAGGGGTGGGTCAGTATCTGCCACTCCAGGGAGCAGGACTGGCTTTCAGAACTTTCTAGAACATAGTTCCTGAAAGCCCTTTGGAGGAGAGTAAGGGTCCACCGAGCGGGGCCGGGCAGCGCTCTGGGGCGGGGGGTGGTGGGGTGGGGGTCCCCAGCCCTGCCGGGAAAGTGCTGAGTCAGCAGGTACCTGCATGCTACGCCGTGTCTCCAGCCCGGAGGGGCCCACAGGAGTCTGGGACGGACCCTGAGGGTCACGGCCACCCCAGGGTGCCCAGCTCCACCCCCCGCTGCTCGGGCCTTCCCGGGGCTCGCCCCCCTCCGGGCCGTGTGGGTTCCCCTGCCACCGGGGGATAGGGATGAGGGGCCCCTAGCTGCTCTCACATACGAGGGTTGGGGGACAGTGAGGCCGGGGCCATCGGAGGTGGGCCTGGGAGCCCCTCAGGCCACTGCGACCAGCGTCGTGCCCAGCCAGGCCATCCCCAGCACATCCCAGGGCCACTGTCCCTGCCTCAGGGTGATGGCTGCCCTAGCCAGGCGGGGCTTTGGGGCTCACGTGGCTCCGGGCGGGGGTCCTGTGACCCCCCACCCACTGCCGGACACGGGGGCACGAGCGCGGGCAGGCAGGGTGCCCAGGGACCCTGCGGCCACTGCCACGGCGTGTCCACCCAGCGCACCTCCGGTGTCCTCTGGGGCCGTCCTGGCGGTGTCAGGTGGGACCCACGGGGGCCTGCATGGGGGAAGCCCCTACGCCCCTGCTGGTACCAGAGGTCAGAGCTCAGAGGTCAGCTTTGGGCTCTGGGGGCAGGCTTGGCTCATACTGACCACAGCAGGAGAGGGACGGGGGCCCTGGCATCGGGCTGCCCCTGCCGCCTGCCCCCCACACAGCCGGGTCCCTCGTGGCCTGGGCACCAGGGGCCACTCGGGGTGGGGCGGGCGGCACTCAGGGCGCAGGGGCTCCAGGGTTGGGTGCTCTGGGAGCCGGTGGGATGCGCCCTGGGAGAAGCAGCAGCTTGTGTGGGGCCCGGGGCAGTGGGGGGCATCCCCGGGCAGACCCCCAACCTCCCGCCGCCCGCAGGAGACGCTGGACCTGTCCCTGACCCCTCCCGCCGTTTCCACGGGAAAGGAAGGCACGAGCGCCCCCTGCTGGCCGCTCCCCGCCATCGTCCCAGCCTCTCTGTCCTGGCCACGCCCCCAGCCGGGCAGCGGTCTGCCAACCCCGAGAGCCGGAGACGCGGGGTCTGAGCCCAGAGCCCTGCTTCTGGAAGGTTCTGTGTGGTGGTGGCTCCAGGTCAGCCTGCTCACTGCCCCTTTGGAGGGACCCCCACCGCAGGGCGCCCTGGACACGGCCAGCTCCTGGGAGTGGACACCCTCCCGGCCCGGGCCTTCCCACAGAAGGCGCAGGTGCGTCTGGCGTCCCTGGGGTCCACGTGGCCGGGACTGTTCCCCACAGGCCTGGGCTGCAGCGACCAGTCAGGGTCAGCCCAGAGTTGGCCACTGGGCAGGGCCCACACCAGCCGCCAGGACTGTCCCCGGCCTCCCTGCACTCCTGCGGCGAGGTGGAGTGTGCGTGGCTGAGACGGAGGAACCCGAGAGCCAGTGAACGTGTGAGTGTGTGAGCGTGTGCGGAGTGAACGTGTGAGCACGTGAGCACGTGCAGAATGAACACACGGGTGCGTGAGCGTGTGCAGAGTGAATGTGTGCGTGCAGAGTGCGTGCGCGGATCCACGCGCGAAGGGATGCGTGGCCACGCGTGCGTGCGTGCGAGGGTGGGTCCGTGAGCCTGGCGAGTGCGAGGCGCGTGGATCCGTGGCTGGGCCGGCAGGTGGCCGCGGAGACGATCGGGAGGGCCAGGAGCGGGCGGACGAGCGCGAGATTAAAGGGCGAGTGGGGGCAGCTCCGCCGGCCGGCTCCTCTCCCGGCCCCCTCGCCGCCTGCCCCCCGCCCGCGCCTTCTTCCCGGTGCCACGCCACGCACGCCCGCCTTTTATCGACCCCGCGCGCGGCAGGGCGCCGTGTAATCGCCCGTGTTTACGACGCGCCGACGGCGTTCCAGCCCAGCTCGGGACGGCTCTGGGACGGAGCCTCGTTAACGCACATTAGCGGGATAATTGAATGGGCACCAGCTGGCAGTGCCACCGTCGCCCCTGGGTGCTGGCGCCTCCCGCCTTCCGCTCAGCGAGAGGGTGGGCTCGGGGGTCCCCCGCACTCTGGCCTCTCCTGCCTCCCCTCAGGGTTGGAGAGTCGGTGCCGATAGGGAATCTGGGGGTCTGCTCGCACATGGGGGCTCTGGGTGCCTCTTGGGGGCTCTCGGTGCCTCTTGGGGTCTCTGGGTGCCTCTTGGGGTCTCTGGGTGCCTCTTGGGGTTTCTGGGTGCCTCTTGGGGGCTCTGGGTGCCTCTTGGGGGCTCTCGGTGCCTCTTGGGGTCTCTGGGTGCCTCTTGGGGGCTCTGGGTGCCTCTTGGGGGCTCTGGGTGCCTGTTGGGGTCTCTAGGTGCCTCTTGGGGGCTCTGGGTGCCTGTTGGGGGCTCTGAGTGCCTGTTGGGGTCTCTGGGTGCCTGTTGGGGGCTCTGGGTGCCTGTTGGGGGCTCTGGGTGCCTGTTGGGGTCTCTAGGTGCCTCTTGGGGGCTCTGGGTGTCTGTTGGGGTCTCTGGGTGCCTCTTGGGTCTCTGGGTACCTCTTGGGGGCTCTGGGTGCCTCTTGGGGGCTCTGGGTGCCTCTTGGGTCTCTGGGTGCCTCTTGGGGGCTCTGGGTGCCTCTTGGGGGCTCTCGGTGCCTCTTGGGGTCTCTGGGTACCTCTTGGGGGCTCTGGGTGCCTCTTGGGGGCTCTGGGTGCCTCTTGGGTCTCTGGGTGCCTCTTGGGGGCTCTCGGTGCCTCTTGGGGTCTCTAGGTACCTCTTGGGGGCTCTCGGTGCCTCTTGGGGGCTCTGGGTGCCTCTTGGGTCTCTGGGTGTCTCTTGGGGGCTCTGGGTGTCTCTGTCTAGGAGGGTGAGGGGTGTGTGGCGGGTGCAGGCTGAACCTGGGGGTCTGGGGCCCCCGGCACCCTGGGAGAGGCTAGGCCTTTCTCCCCGCCCCACCTGTGGTCTGGGAGCGTCGTGGGGGACGGGGTGTGTCTGGGGGGCTGTGCATGTCCCATGGACACACGTGCGTGTGGGAATGTGTCCCCACGGTAGGGACCCAGGCTCGTGCGTGACCAAATCCACAGACCCCGCCTGGGAGGGTCTGCACAAGTCGCCTGGACCGTCCCTGACCATCATCCATGCCAGCGTGCGAAGCCGTGTGAGCGTCCGGCACGTGTGTGTGTCAGGGCATCCAGCGGAAGTGGGGCGGGCTGAGCTGCCGACACCCAGGGCCTGGGACGGAGAGGGTTCCCTAGGTGCTGCACTCAGTGCTGGGTCCCCCAGGTGCTGTGCTCGGTGCTGGGTCCTCCAAGTGCTGTGCTCGGGGGTTCCCTAGGTACTGTGCTGAGTCCTTGGGTCCCCCAGGTGCCGTGCTAGGTGCTGGGTCACCCAGGTGTTATGCTCAGTGCTGGGGGGGTCCCCTGGGTGCTGTACTTGGTGCTGGGGGGTCCCCAGATGCTGTGCTCAGTGCTGGGTCCCCCAGGTGCTGTGCTCAGTACTCAGTCCCTCAGGTGCTGTGCGGCTCAGTTCTCAGGTCCCCCCAGGTGCTGTGCTCAGTACTGGGGTCCTCCCGCCCAACCCGCATTCACACCTCCTCCCTGGCCACACCCGCCAGTGGCCCTCATGTCACTTCCTGTGGCCGCTCTCCAGGCCCCGGGGAGGGGAGGGGGCGTCCGTCCCCGGGGCTGACCCCGACGCCTCTCAGTGTGTTCGTCCCTGCAGGTCAGCTGGCGGCGGGCACGTGTGAGATCGTCACTCTGGACCGGGACAGCAGCCAGCCCCGGAGGACCATTGCCCGACAGACGGCGCGCTGCGCCTGCAGGAAGGGCCAGATCGCCGGCACCACCAGGGCCCGGCCCGCCTGCGTGGACGGTGAGTGCTGGGGGGACGCGAGATGGCGGTGGGGGGCGGGGCGGGTGCCTCGCAGCCCCGCGGGGTGGCACCGGGACGGCCGACACCCCCGGCACCTGTGTCCGCCGCCCTGCGGCCCTGGCCCCCCCAGCCGAACCCGTGCCCAGCTCGGCCCTGGCTGCCGGCTCCCGCAGTCCCGCCCAGGCGCTGTCCGGCCCCGTCTCGTTTCCCTCCCGTGTTCTGGCTCCCGTCTCTGTGCTCCCTGCCTGAGCTTCCGTCGTGGGCCGGGGACTCGTGGGGGGAGCAGGGCCCGGGCCTGAGCTCACATGCCGCCCACTGTCCACTCACTCAGGGGTGCCCGTGTGGGGAGGAGAGAGGACGGGCCGCCTCGGGGCCGGGGGAGAGCGGGAGGCCGGGGACCCTGGCGTGCAGCTGCTTGGCCTGCAGGGAGGTTGGCAAGGCTGCTGCCTCCCGGGGGCGACTCTTGGTCGGGGCGTTGAGGGCTGAAGAGGAGCTCACCGGGAGCACGGCTGGCCACAGGGGGAGGGGGAGGCCCTGGCGGCCTCCGGGCTCGCGCCTCTCCGGGTGCTGCTGCCAGCCTGGAGGCGGCGGCCGTGGCTCTGTGCAGCTGGCTGGCCTCCGTCAGGAAGGGAGGTTGCAGACAGACACACAGACGTGCTCCCAGGACCCCGCAAAGGCTACTTGCTGCCAGGCCTCGGGTGCGGCCCACGAGCTCACACATCCCGGGGCAGGGCAGCGCCTTGGAGCTCGCTGGCAGGGCGGGGATCAGACCGAGACGTGCGTGGGACGGGGTGGTCTCTGGGGCCCCGGGTGAGGACGGACGGACGGACAGGGAGTGAGGACAGACAGGCTGGACGGTGGGGACGGAGGCGGGGAGGAGGGACACTGTGGCCCCTGGATCAGCCTGACGAGCTGCTCGCTCTCGGCCTGACCAGGGGCCGCCCCCGCGCACAGTCCCAACTCACCGTGTCCTTGACCCACGTCCCGCCGGGTGGCCAGGAGTGGGCACCTCCGCGCCCTCCTGCCCCCGGCCACACTCTGTGCCGCCCAGGCCGGCCCTGGGCCAGGCGGGACCTGGGACCTGCCTTCTGCAGGGACGTCTGGGCTTTGGGACGCGGGCGGGTGGCGCCTGCCCCCTGGTGGTGTGCGATGGCCTGGCCGTCTCCCCTGTCCCGACACCCCCGGGTGCCCACAGCTGGGGCTTGGAGATGCTTTCCTCCTGCCCTGCGGGTTCCGTCCCGAGGTTGCCTGGAGCTGGGGCTGGGGCCAGGCCCCTGCCTCCTGCGCTGCCCAGGGACGGTCGGGTCTGGGCCCCACCCCCACCCCCCTGCACCCTCAGTTCTGGGCTCGCTGGGCCGGCCCTGTGCCCGGACCCCTTCCAGAAGCTTCTTCTCCTGCCAGGCCCCAGCACCACACACCCTCCCCCTCCTGCCTGGGCTGGAGAACTGTCCTCCAGTCGGGGCTGGGCCCGGGTGCCCCCCACCCTGTCTCCCCACCCGGCCACGCTGACCTCTGTCTCCCACTCGCTCACTGGCAGGGGTCCTGGGCAGGGTGGCAGGAACTGCTGCCCGCGGTGCTGCCGGGAGCCCTGGGTGGGGTGCAGGTGTGCCCAGGGCACGGGGTGCCAAGGCCACCTTCCCATTGCCCACCCACTGTCCCCCGCGCCGACCCCCTGCTGGGCCCAGCTCCCGCCCCCCCCAGACCCCCTCGGTGTGACCCCGAAGTCCCAGCCGGGCCTGGGGGGAGAGGATGTCCCTGCGGACCCACTGGCCACCCCCCTCCCGCTCTCCATGGCCCCCCACCCGTCCCCAAGGGTCGCCTCGCACCTCTGGGCTCCCTCAGTGGGCCACAGGGAGGTGTCCACTCCTACCAGCTGGCACCCAGGGGCCGGCGGACAGTCTCCCTGGGGCCACTGGGCAGGCCGGGCCTCCAGACGCTCGGGCCCGAGTTGGGGCCCAGGGTGGACTTGAGGCCCATCGCATCCACCCGTGCACCTCCGGGCTCAGCTCGGGGGGGGGGGGGGGGGCGGGGCCTGGGCATTGGGCGCTGGGCTGGATGGACAGAGGGATGATGGGCGGACGGGTTGGTCAGAGGCTGGAGAGAGGGACCAGGCCGGGAGAGGCAGATGGACGCCTGCGTGGGCAGGGGCGGGAGGGGTGGAGTGGGCAGGTGAGGGGAGGGACCGACAGACATGGGCGGGGGAAGGGACAGATGATGGAGGGGGTGGGGGGAAGGACGGATGGACGTGGGGTGACGGACAGACGCCAGGACGGTGGAGGCAGGCAAGGCTTCTCCGTGCCCGGGATGTGCAGGGACACCATTGGTGGGCCCGGATCTGCCCACCTGGTCGGGCTCCCTCCCAGGTGCTCCTGTCCCCGAGCCCGAGAGAGAGACGGGGCTGGGCCCAGGCCCACCAGTGCAGCTCCTGCCCTGACCCCAAGTCCGGGCGCGACAGGTGTGATTGGGGGGTGTCGCCCCCATCCCCCCAAGTCCGGGAGCGGCAGGCATGATTGGGGGGTGTTGACCCCCAACCTCCGAGTCCGGGCGCGGCGGGCGTGATTGGGGGGTGTCGCCCTTGCCCTCACCCCGTCTTGCTAATCTCATTACCGCGTGTGGAGCGCGGGGCGCGCGGCGAGGCCGTCTCCGCCGTGATGAATCACGCTAATCAGAGAACCGTCTGAGAATTAATCCCGTCTACTGTAACTATTTAAAGAAAAAATAATTATCCAGACCGTTCCCACTGAATTATGCTGTCTAAAAAGTTGTAGGGTGAGAATTTTGCCTATTTCGAGTCTGGGCGTGTCGGTCTTCCTTCCCCAGCCATGGGGGTCTCGGCCTCGGGGGCCAGGGGGGCCCGGTCTCCCCGCCTGCCCCCAGCTCTGGGCCGCCCTGGGTGGTGGGTGCAGGGATGAGCCCGGGGCGGAGCTGGAAGGACTCACTCTTTCTGGGGGCGCCCTGGCTGAGCGCCAAGGTGGGCCGTGCTAAGGGGACACCAGGAACTCGGTGCCCACTGTGGCTGTGGGGGTCCCTGAGTCAAGATGCCCGAGTCTCCGGGCAGCCCTGGCCAGCGGGGCCACCATGCTCCTTGGAGGAGGGACAGTCCCCTCCTGGTCACGGCAGGGCCCCCCAGAAGGGGGCTCCCTGCAGGGGTGAGGCTCAGCTCACGACGGGGTCTTGCCGATGGTTGCTGGAGTGGGTGGAGGGGCGCTCCTATGGCGGGCGGGGGGTCCCCGCCAAGCCCGGCCTGCACCTGCGCATGGGGCGTCTGCTGGCCAGGGGACAGGAACAGGTGGGTGACATGGCCGGGGTCTGCCAGGCACACACGGGGGTGGTCAGACACCCTTTTGTTTACCTGAGTCTTGGAGGAGTAGACAGGGAGACCCGGGGGGTGGACAGGGAGACCCGGGGGGCAGACAGGGAGACCCGGGAGTGAACAGGGAGACCCGGGGGTGGACAGGGAGACCCGGGGGTGGACAGGGAGACCCGGGGGCTCTGGGCTCTGGTTGTGGACACCCTCCCCGGGGTCTCCCACCCGTACCTGCGCACAGCCGCACCTGCGCCCCCGGAGCCTCTGCCGGTCCCTGCGACCCCCCCCCCCCGCCCGCCCTGACGGCCCGCTCTCCGCAGCACGCATCATCCGCAGCCGGCAGTGGTGTGACATGCTCCCGTGCCTGGAGGGGGAGGGCTGCGACCTGCTTATCAACCGCTCCGGCTGGACCTGCACGCAGCCCGGGGGGCGCATCAAGACCACCACGGTATGTGCTCGGGGCGGGAGGCACGGGCAGGGGGCACTTGGACACGGTGCGGTGTGGACCTGAGTGGGCCGGAGGACTTGACCAGCAGGAGCTGAGGTGGGGCCCAGCGTGAATGCAGGAGGGGCGCTGGGTGCCCACGGGTCCCTGCAGGGCAGAGTCAGTGGGCAGGTGCTGGGCAGCTGCTCTGGGGGCCATGGCCACGGGCGGCAAGTCCAGTGAGCACAGAGCAGCCAGGGAGCCCAGCAGGTGCCCCGGAGCACCAGCGCCCAGACACAGACAGACGCGCTGCGTGTCCTGCGGTCACGGGGTCATCGGTGTGAACGCCTGTCACCACGCAGGCAGGTGACAGGAACACGCCCGAAGCCAGGGCCAGCCCCGAGCCCAGCCACGTGCACAGGAGAGAGAGCAGGGGGTCACGGGGGGCTCAGTGCGAGGCCTGGGCTGCACATGCAGGAGGCACGAAGCACACCTGCCACCGCCGGGCCTGGCCCCAGCACACACACACGTACACATGCACGTGCACACAGACACGAACACAGACACACATACGTGTGCACACACATGTAAAGACGTGCACACATACACGTGCACACACGTATACACCTGCAGGTGCACACAGACACGCAGAGACACACAGACACGTGCACACATGTACACACATGCAGGTCACACAGACATGCACACTCGTGCACAAACATACACACATGCACACGTACACGTACACATGCACACAGACACATGCACACGCTTGTACATGCACGGACATGTGCACACGTGCACGTAGATGTGCACGCACACGTGCATACACATGCACGTGTGTGCGCGCAGGTACACTCGTGCACGTACAGGTACACATGTGCACATACACATAGGCACAAGCATGTACACACATGCGCACGAATACACACATGTACGTGTGTGTGTACGCCCCTGCCTAGAGCTTCTGAATATCGGAACTACGAGCAAAGGCACCTTGGTTCTGAGGTCTCGGGGTCCCCTCGAGGTCACGAGGAAAAAGCCACGAGGTCTCCGCTCAGCCCCGTCTCGGCCACCAGCCGGGCGGCAGGACCCGAGAGACAGCCCCTCTGTCCAAACACCTCCCGTGAGTGGCCTCGCGGGGCAGCAGGCGGGTGGGCAGTCAGACCGTGCCCAGAGGATAGGCAGCCGTGTCCACCGCCCAGGAGAGCCGGGCAGGCAGGACGTGTGGCGGCTGGTGGACGCTGGCCTCGGTGGGCCGAGCAGAGTGGGGTGGACTTCTGAGCTGCCCAATCCCGTCCACCCCGCGTTCGCGGGCCACGACCTTCTAGCTCAGAGCTGCAGCGCTGATGCCGGGTGAGGGCGGGGCGGGGGTCTCACACCTGATTGGAGGACGGCCCAGGGCCCATCTGCGGGCAGGCCGCCCGTCCACTTGCGGTGTCCACTTGCAGATGGGCCTTCCGTGCCGCACACGGAGCAGTTACAGAGGCGGCTGGACACGGGGCCCAGAGCAGGGGGGCCCGAGGTCGGGTCACTGTGCAGCCAGATGGGAGGGCAGGGGACCCAGACACCGGCCTGTCGTGTGGACGTGGGGGACGGGGTCAACTCCTGGGTCTCCTCCGACTGGTCCACAGAGCAGCCCCCCAGACGGGTCCCCCTGAGTTGGGCTGGCTGGCTCCGAGGCGCGCCCCCCGTGCCCCTGCGCTGACCCTCTCCTCTCTACCCCACAGGTCTCCTGACACACGCAGCTGCCCAGGGGCCGGGACAGTCCACGGCCCGGCCAGACCCGGCGGAGCCCATGGTCCTCGCCCACCCACCGCCGCCTCTCCGGCCTCCACGGACAGCCGTGTCCCCGCGTCCCACGCCCGGCCACGCCGAGGGGCCCAGCAGGGGCCCAGGCACCGCGCCGGGCATCCCGGGAGCCTGGCCTCTGGCACACGAGCCCCAGGACGAGGACGAGCAGGCCGGGGGCCCGGGGAGGACGACGCGGCCAGCCCGGGCAAGGACTGGCGCTCCCGGCGGCCCCGGCTGACCGAATCACTTTTATTTTCTTACCCTTCCAGTATATTCCATAGACCAAAGAGCAGATCTGTCTCAGCGGGACCCGCGGGGTCCAGGGGACGGGCCCACAGCAGGCCCCGCCCCACGGACGCGGGCCGGCGCCCTGACGGACAGACGGACGGACGCTCTCGCCGCGCCGGCCCGGCTCGCGGCCGCCATGGCCCGGAGCAGCCTCGGACCCGACGGCACCGAACTCCGTTTAACCCTCACGCCTCTCTGCAGCACCATCTCCGATAGTTGGATGATCCCGTACTCGCCAAGAGCATGTTGGGGGGCCCGAGACCCTCTCATTCGATGCACCATTTAGCTCAGAAAGCAAATTAAAGGAAACTCAAGTAACCTTGTTTGAAAGAGCTCATTAAATGTATTTTGCAAAGCCTAAAGTTATATATTTAACAGTTTTTATATGTTGTATATTTGTAGAAAATCCTATTTAACAATCGATGTGGTTAGTCTGGCTGTGCTGAGGCAGGGGTTGGAACGGGTGGGGGTGAGGGGTGGGGGTTGAGATCCGGGGCTTCCAGAAGGCTCTGGAAGGTTCTAGAAGGTTCTGGGGCGGGTGTGACAGGGCCGCTGGGCCTTGGAGGTGGGTGCCGGGTGCGAGCGGAGCACAGGGTGAGGTGCCTTCGGCCGCGTCAACTCCGGCCCCGGCCCATGGGGTCACCTGCCCACGCCGCCCACTCTCCTTCCCAGCCCGACGGTGCCCTCGTCTGTCTCCGAGTTGAAGGTTCCAGAAGCCCCGGGGTGGGCTTCAGGCCCAGAGAGGGTGTGACCGGCTGGCGGGGTCCTCCAGCCCGAGAGGGGCAGCCGATGCCAGCTGCCCGCCTGGGCCCCCCGCCAGACACCTGAGCCGAGAAAGCTGCCTTCCCGGGAGCGAGTCAGGGGCCCCGCGCCAGACCCACGCTACTAAACAAGGAAAGTAACGACTTAGCTGTCCCAGCGACCCTTAGACGAGAGCCAGGAGGAAAAAGGCATTTGACGCCCCTTCCCCGGTCCGGGGGCTCCCGCTCCCGCCAGCCCCCCGGGTCCCGAGGCGAGTGTCGGGGCAGGGGCTGGGCGGGGCCGACGGCGGTGGTCCCCGCGCGCCCCGCGCCCCTGCCCGTCCCTCGACGGCCGGCGAGAGTGGACGCGCCCCAGGGCCGGCACGGGAGGAGGGAGCTGTGACGGCATTTTTTCCCCTTGTTTTACAGTATTCGATTTTGTGTTGACTCAGCTAAATTATGGAAATAAAGAGAAAAATCCTTTGGTAAGCTTGCTTCTGTGGGCTGCGGGCGCCGCGGGCGTGGGCGCGGGGACACGGGGCCGCAGGGCTCAGGGCGCCCGTCCAGACTGACCCTCCTCCCTGCGCCCGGGATCTGCCCTCTGCGCCCGGGGGCCCGTCCCCGGGTCACGCCCTGCCCCCTCCGGGAGGCCCCTCTCAGGACGGACTCAGGGCGGTGCCTGTTGTGACCCGAGGGCCAGGAGGCCCGTGTGCTGGGGGACCCCAGGTCTTGGGGGGACGGGGAGGCATGGTGGCCGCTGAGAGGGAGATGGCGCAGACGCTTGGCCTCAGCTGCCCCTGGCCCCGAGGGAGTCCTGCACGCTGCCCGTGCCGCCCGGTGGCCACCCCCACCCCCACCACTCTGCCGGGCCCCCTTCAGCCATCAGTGGCAGGCTGTAGGGCGTGGGGGGCTCACACCAGGACGCCCCCTCGTGCCCACAGTCCAGGCCCAGCCGAGTCGCTGCACCTCGGGCAGCACGGGAGGGGGTGTCCAGGCGTGTGTGTGGACACGTGTCCACAGGTGTGTGGATGCGTGCAGACTCATGGTGCACGTATGTGTGGGCACATGGGTGCATTGTGTGGGCACATGGATGCATGTGTGTACCTGGGTGCTTATGTGGGGGCACATGGGTGCAGGGATGTGTGTATGTGATATGTATTGTGGGTATATTTGCACGTATATATCAGCAAGTGCGTACATGACTGTATATGGGGTGTTTGTGTGCGTGTCCATAGAAGCACGTCCACGCACATGTATGTGGGAGCATGTGAGGGCACATACATCCACGTGTCCGCAGGTGTGTGGATGCGTGCAGACTCATGGTGCACGTATGTGTGGGCACATGGGTGCATGTGTGTACCTGGGTGCGTATGTGGGGGCACCTGGGTGCAGGGATGTGTGTGTGCAGAGGCACACAAGCGTGTGTGATATGTACTGTGGGCATATTTGCATGTATATATGGGCAAGTGTGTACACGAGCGTATATGGGGTGTTGCTGTGCGTGTCCTTAGACGCACGTCCACGCACATGCATGTGGGAGCGTGTGAGGGCACAGTCATCCATGTGCCCGCAGGTGTGTGCCAGTGGGTGTCACACGTGCACGTCTGCTGTGTCCATGAGCATGGACACATGTGCTCACACGTGCACGTCCCGTGTGCCGTGCTCTTGGCTCATGCGTGTGCCTTGTGATCGCTCTCGTTGTCAGCCCCTCGGTCTCCCAGGGTCCCAGGACACTCTCCTCCACTCCTTTGGCCTCCAGAAGCCCCGAGCCGGGCGTGTCAGGGGTGCGAGGATCTGGCCCGCCCGCGCCCGGGTGCTTGTCCGTCCCAAGCTGCCCCGCGCACACGTGTGGCCGCATCTCGGGGCAGGTGGTTGCCGTGTCCTGACGTGGCCCCTGTGGGCTCCGGGGTCCCTGGAGGGGCTGGCCGCCGCCCCCTGGCCCTGCACACACACCCACCCACCCCCGCACCCGCCGCGCCGCCCGCCCGGCCGGCAGCCGTGGGCTGTGCCGGGGTCCAGGCTCCCCTCTCCGCAGCCGGCACTGGGCGCCCAGGGCTGCGTCTGAATCATCGTTTATTTTCTCCTCCGTGCCGGGATGGCTGAGAAATAATAACCGCATTTGTTTTCTGCTTCTGCCGGGCGTCGCCACGCAGCTCCCGCCCACCACACTGCAGAAGGCCTGGGGGTGGGGAGGGAGGCAGGGGAGGGGGGAGGGGAGGCCGGGGAGGGGAGCGGGGAGGAGGAGGAGGATGGGGAGGAGGAGGGGGAGGGGTCTCCGTGCCATACGCACCCCAGGGGCAGTGGGACCCCAGGAGCTCTCCCCCCCCCGGGCAGTGTCCCCGTGAGGACCCAAGAAGGGGCCCCGAGAGTCCCTGGGCACTGGCAGGAGGGAGCCTGAGGGGCAGCGTCATCCGGTGAGCTGTGGGGGTCTCTCACGGCCGGGCAGAGTCCCCCGACAGTGCTCAGGGGCCACGTGGCGTCAGGCTGAGCACGGCCTGGGCACAAGGGCACGGCCTTCGCTGCGGCCGCCTCCTGCCCACCTGGGGTGTTCAAGAGACACCGTGGAGTGCAGGGTTCCCCCAGTGCCGGGTTCTCAGGCGTGATGACATGCGGGCGCTGGGTCACACCAGGGGGCCCCCACGGCATCCTGAGAAACGGGCGAGAACGGGACTCAACGCTTCAGAGCGAAGGTTGGCGGTTGGGGAAGCGACTGACGCCTCGAAGGGAGGATCAAAGGCAGGAACGGGGAGAACGGGGAGGAAAAGGAGGGACAGGACAGAAGGGGCGAGTGGCTGCCCAGCGGCCCCCGACCAGCCTGCAGGGGGACAGCCCCGGCCAGCCCGGACCTGCCTCGGAGGGCGCGGGAGCAGGGCCTGGGGTGCCACAGCGCCACACGCACACGTGACAGCACACTCACACACACGTGCTCACACTCAGTCACACACGCGCACACTGACACACATGCTCACAGTCACAAACACTGATGCACACGTGCTCACACAGTCACACACACACACCGACACACACATGCGCGCACACCGGCACATGTTCACACTCACACACGCAGTCACACACGCTGACCACACATGTTCACACTGACACACAGCCCCACTCCCGTGCTCACGCGAACACAGATGATGCAGGCACACACTCGCACCCGCACACACAGAGACCCCCTGGGCCCTTCCCGCGTCAGCCCCACCAGGGCCCACACAGTGCCGGCCCAACCGGTGACGGAGGCCAAGCTCAGAGCTCAGACGCACGCCCCCCGCCCCTGGCTCGCTCTCTGTCAGGGAGAGGGGGCGGCTGGGAGACCCCCAGAGGCGTGGCGGGGAACATTCTAGGACGTTCCCAGCCCCTGGAACACGCCCGCCCGAGAGCGACGGCTGCAGGCAGGCAGGCGGGCGGGGGAGCCCCTCCACGGAGTCTCCTCCTCGCCCGACTCCCCCTCCAGGCAGGGCAGCCGCTGGGCGGGTCCTGGGGGCCGCAGGTGGGGGCCGGGAGGAGGCGCCATGGGACAGCAGAGAGGGGGACGCCCCGCGCTGCCCCTCCAGGGTGTCCGAGGCTGCGAGGAGGCCGAGTCACTCCCGCATCCACGGGGAGGAGTCTGGATTCTCCTGGGAGGAGGCGTCTGACGGGCGGGCGGGGAGTCCCTGTGCCTTGGCTGATCTCTAAGCACCGGGCTCTGCTCGGCCTGCAGTGCTCCATCTGGGGAGGGTCGGGCTGACTCCCGGCTCAGAGAGGGGGAGAGAGGGAAAGAAAGGGAGAGAGAGGGGGAGAGGGAGAGAGAGGGAGGGAGGGAGGGAGAGAGAGGGAGAGGGAGGGAGGGAGGGAGGGAGGGAGGGAGGGAGGGAGAGGGAGGGAGAGGGAGAGCCCCTGCCATAGAGGCAGGCAGGGGTGCGGGTGGGAGTGATGGGAGGGACCCTGGGGACCCTGGTGCTGGGAAATGTGCCCCGGTGGAGGGGACGGGGTTGGAGCACTGTGTGA